AATACCACCCATAAATCCAGTCATGTTTCACTAATACAAGTAAACAAGAATGAGGAGCTGGAGTAGGTCTTCTAACCCCTTCAGCCTGCTCCAGCATTTGATTAGATAATAGAGATAGTAAGAACTGCCGATGCTGGAGTCAGAGATTTTCTGATTTTCTGAAGAAGGGTCCCGATCCGAAACATCAGCTTTCCTGCTCCTCTGATACTGCCTGGCCTGCTGTGTTTCTCCAGCTCCACACTGTGTTATCCTTGATTAGATAATGGTTATTTTGAATGTGACCTCAATTTGACTTTTATGTCCATCCTGAATAACCCTTGATTTCCTTGTTGATCAAAAATCTATCTAACTGAGCCTACTCAATGAGTCAATCACCACTGTTTTCTGAGGAAGGAAATTCCACAGACTAACAGCTGTCTGAGGGAAATTTTTCTTCTTATATCAGTCTCAAATGGGAAACCCCTAATTTTTAAACGATGTTCCCTAGTCTCGACTCCCCAAGGTGAAGCATCCTCTCAACATTGGACTTGTGAAGTCCCCTCAGCATCTTATATGTTTCAATAGGGTTAAGACCCATTCTTCTTTTTTTAATTTTTTTTTTATAATCAGAAGTGTCTTCATGCACAACTGAATTTTTTTCCCCATTACCACATCACTCATGTCAATTTCCATCTATTATCCACCAGCACTAAATCACTCCTGTTTGCCATTAAATGAATTGATGTTCAAAATTCGACAAAGGCAATGCATTAACACCAAAACGGAGGGAGGCAGAGAGGGGGCTAAATAAAATGGAGTCAGAAGGGGAATAAGGCACTCCAACCCTGCAGTGACCACCTTTGTCTAAAGGCATTGAGGGTATTGGTGGACACTGCATGCTCCCTTTCTAAGGGCAACTGGGCACAAACGCAGCCGTGGAATAAGGGCAGGCGATTGGCAAAAAGACCTTGGACATTCACCCTATCCATGCCCCTCATGATTTTACAAACCTCAACAGGATCACCCCTCACCTCTGAAGCTCCGGGGAAAAAAGCCCCAGCCTGTTCAACCTCTCCCAGTGACTCAAACCCTCCAGTTCCAGCAACATCCTTTTCAAAAACATCTTAGCACTGCATGATTGCAGTATAATTTTCTAAATGTCCCACTTCCTCAATAACAGATTGTAGCATTTTCCCTAGAATGCACATTACGCTAAGTGACCTGTTGTTTTCTGCTTTCTGTCTCTCCTTTTTTGGAACAGAGATAACGATGAATGATTTTCAGAAGATCTTTAAGATCTGGATTTTCTAATGCTACATAAGATTCCAACAATTTATTTCTAAGACTTCTTGCATTAGCAGTTAAGCAATTCCTTGTACCATCCAATATTTTCTTATGGACTATGCGTCAATCCTATTTTATTATTATAGTTTTTTCAGTTGAAGCAACCTGTAATATGTGTTCCACTGTGCATATATGTTATTTGACAAGATTCTTGACCTGATTCCATGTCCTGATTGTGATAGTTAATTTTCATCTCCTTATGTCTCCCAGCTCATCGCCCAGAATTTATTTTTATCTGTACTCAGGCCAAATATGTGAATCCCCTGTATTAGAAAACCCTCCCACTAGTCACCATTATCATCTCTGCGTCTCTGCTATTTAAGTACTTGTGTCAATCTTTTTCCATGATATTGTCACAATGCAGTCCAGCAAAGACCTCCAGATTTCAAATTTTATTTCTAAAACACCATGCCTTCAAATCCGAAATTTTGAAGCATCAATGCATTTTCCAGCACCTATGAATTCTGTGGACTGCAATCAGCTGGTCCTTGAGCTTACCTTTTGTTTCAAAAGACTCAACTAGTACTTAATGCATGTTGCACATCCAGGATATCCCAGACCATGCATACCAAATACAAAGAGTCAAATTATATATTTCAACAGCACTTCGTAAGATTTTCTCCAGGGCTAATTTTTGGTTTTCATGGATTGTTTTTGCTCTCACTAACTCCTTTATTAGTCGAAGCAGCACACAGTAACATTTCCTTTAGCATTTGTACATTTTTAGGGCACGTTCGTTATGAAGACCACCACCAGGTGGAGTAATGAAAACACACATGCAGGAACACAGTATCATGGCCAGTTGATATCATTAGCCCAGACTGAGCATGCACAGGCATTCGGATGAGGAGATAATAGTGAGGAGGAGCAACAGGTGGAGGGAGCAGGCAAACAGTCTACCCAGTCTCCGGGGTCATCTTTCTGGAAGTGTCCTTCCTCAGGGAGCACAGTGGCCAGAGATAGGCAGTGAGGTGATAGCAGTCGAGGAGATCTATTCTTCAGACATTGCCAAGGCGGGGTAGCTCAGAACTGTCTTCCCCTTGTCCCAGTCCCCATCTTCACATGCCTGATGACATCAATGGTATTTATGCAAGTAGCCAGGTGCTTCCTATAGCCTTCCTATAGGCAGATCTGAGGAAGGGTCATCGGACCTGAAAGGTTAACTCTGATTTTTTCTTCACAGATGCTGTCAGACCTGCTGAGCTTTTCCAGCAACTTCTGTTTTTGTTCCTGATTTACAGCATCCGCAGTTCTTTTGGTTTTTGCTTCCTATAGCCTGTTGTGGCCAGTGATGCCATGGGCCATGCCTGCACATAACCTGGGCTTTTCTAATAATTACTCCTCATTTCATATTGTTTTCTGCTTTAGCTAGATAAGAATACCCAAGATTGTGTGCATACACATAAAGTTAAACATTTTAATTTAGAATAGGGTCTCAAGTCTAGCAGCTTTGGGACCTAGGCATCTTCACCAGTGTGTCAATTCAAATCAGAACGCCTTAATCCAGTGCATTAGGAATCCAGGAAAATCAACTGAAATGGCTGTAAAGTGAAACTGCATCAAGAACACCAATGCTGGACACAAGACTCTGCTAAGTGAGACAGAAAGTTTATTTCAGGGGACAAAGTTTGGTTTGGGAACCATGGAAATGGCTCTGCATGGGTAAGAGACATGGTTGATGCGAGGTCAGGTCCAGTGACGTATAATATTCAGGTATGTGCGACGGTCCTGAACAAGCACGTGGACTGTATGAAAGCTGCAAACGTGCAAACAGTGCGGGAACAAAATGTGCCCAGCTCTTTGACTCCCTTTCTGACAGCTCCAGAACCCATGGGTTCTCCCTGTCCATCAAGCATTGAAGTTACCTCGGAATCTAAGATGGACAAAGCAGATGTCGCTGCCTCGACACCTTTGCTGCCTTGACACCTTTGCCGCCTGAGGTGGAGAATTAATTTCTTCTGAGACACTTCACAAGCAAGACATGAGCCACTGTGTCTTACACACCACCAGTATCAGAGGCAGAGATGGAAGATCCTTACCCAGTGCTAAAACCCCCAGGTGGAGCTTTAAGAAAAGAACTGGCCTATGTCCCAGACTCAGAGAGGACAGGGATGCAATGATTGTAACAGTGTCAATCAGATGGATCTCATAGAATATGAGCTGTTAATCTGGTCCAATCAGGGATCCCTGCCTGACAGATATAAACAGGAGTGTCAGAGCTTCTGTTCACTCTGAGAGTGGGCTCTGAGGAAACTGGATCAGTGACAAGGACTCTCCAGTGTAAATCAAGGGTGACTTGGTGATGGGATACTGGCTTCTGTGGAGTCGTTTCACTGGTGATGAGAATAAAGAACATTCCTGAAGAAACTCACTCACAACAGTTGCCTTTGAGTTGGGGTAAGCATTTCTGGCATCTTTTGGGAAGCTTGACTCTTTCATCCTGCCATCGAAGACTTGGCCCAGTATGTGGAAACAATGCTTTTTTTTCTGGGCAAATGACACTGGGGCAGATAAAAAGCAATGAGTAATTCACCTGACAGCTTATGGACCCACAGCTTTTTCAGTTATTAGGAGCCTAACTTCCCCTGAGGCACCAAATCCTTAAACCTTTCATAAATTGACCAATTTAGTTCAGGAATATTACAATGCCAAGCCTCCTGTAATTTTGAGATGCTATAGTTTTTATTCAGCAATTTGAGAATCAGTAAAGTCTTTGATTCTGGTTCAGCTCCCTTGGAACCAGCTCTAAGTGTCAGACATCTGATGCTCCTCTTTTTATCAGTCAGCCAGGGCCCCTTGATTGGACCGGATTAACAGACCCAATCAGGGAACTCATATTCTACATGGTCCACCTGGCTGACCTTGTTACAATCGCATTGATGTTTCAATTTATACTCCTTTCCTAACCTGTGGACTTGTCCAGTTTGCAGTCTATTTTGACAAGAGATGCCCAGAAACCATTTCCCATAGTTTCTTAAAATGAGCAAGACGATGCCAAATTAAAGTACATGCATAGTTTGCCATATCAGCGTGAGAACCCAATTTATCATCTGATGTGAATTATTGAACTCTGGTCATATCATGCAAAAGAATGCAAGCAGCATCACTCCACAAACGGCTTTGCCTGTCTTTGGATACAAAATCCCCCCTCGATGTCGAGTTGTTGCGCTTTTAATCTGACGGATCAGTAACGTTTTGAAGCCAAATTATGAGGAACATTGTTTCTGATGCTCAAACTCTCCCGGGTCAGGTATAATTACAGAGTAAAGATTCTGTTTCAAAATTCCCTCGATCACTGTTGCTTGGATACCATGTAGTTAAATATACAACAAATATATTTTGAATAGTCCCCGAACAGAGGTAGGACATGGGCTTTTCCAATCCGCTTCCAATGGCGTTTTCCAAAACGGTGGCTGGCGGGGGTGGCAGTAGTTGGTTACGGAACATAAAGTGATAACTTGGGACAAACCTCCTTCAGTTCTCAAAGCGTGAAAGGTTGATTAAATTTCGTATCAGGTGTAATCTGCAGAAAGGCTATATATGAACGGTTCCCACCGTTTGTTTTGAAAATGATTGTGTTGTTGACCCCTGGCCTAAATTTGGTGCTTGCTCCCTAGTAACCGCGCGCGGCGTTCGGTTGCTAGGAGACGGGGCTGCGGCCTGCTGGAAGCCGAGGAGCGGGCGACCGTGATTAATCCAGCCGCCAGGTGGGAAACCACGATTAAAATTCGTTGTATCCCTCTCTCTCTCTGGCGCTGAACCGTTCCGGTCTGTTCTACTGACCTTCCGTAAACCCTGCTGCCAGAACAGGGGCCTGCCTTTTACAATCGGGGTAAGTCAGACCTCACCCCCAGCAGTAGCACGATCCCCTCCACTAAAACGCAGCGAAACCCCTTCATTTTTTAAAAAAAAATCCACCCAGTCCCGGTTTATTGTTCGTTTTACTTTCATGCTTCCCAGTGTTGAAAACCACAAATTCTGATTGCTCTTTCTTTTTCAAAAAAAAAAGAAATCTTGAAAGGAAATATAATGTTTGGACGTGAACTCGTTTATAACGATCGTTTAGTTACCGGGGATTGCTGCTGCTCATCTTTCCGCTAGCGTTACGCCGGCAGTTTGGAGCACTCCCGCCACTCCTTGTCAACGCCGACACAAAGTTGGTTTAACGTAAATTGACAAAGCCTTCTGTTAGGAACCCAAATAGATGGGTTCAGTGTTGCCCGTGTGATGCTGAGTTAGAGAACGTCTTGATTCATCCAGCACTTGATGGCAAAACAGCCAGCACAACAACAACTGCTGGTGCTGGAGTAAAGGTAAACTTGAATGTCATCGGCATGAATTAGGAAGTGGACCAGTGGATAAAATATGATGCCACTACAGAATTGAGTGGATTGGAGGGGATCATGTAGGAGTGAGGAGAAAGGCCATTGGAGGTGGAGGTGAAGATGGAGCCAGTAGGAGAGCAATTGGAGGAAATGTTATGAATGGTTAACCGGAAAGAATGAGTACAAGACTAGGGCAATAATCATAAATGATAGTGCTGGTGAAATTGACCAGAGAAGTCCGAGTGCTTTGAAAGTACTGGAAGGGTGCTCATACCAATCTATTCTTTTTTCTCCTCTATTTTCATCTCTTCCCTTGGTATAAGAGGACACATCCCAGGCACAAGCCAAGCTCACCTCTAACCATATTCCATAAGCTTGTACAGTGACTAGACTATAAGAATTAGGCCATTCTGCCCATTGAATCTTCATTTGATCATGACTGATATGCTTCCTAATGGCCTTCTCCCTGTAATCCTTGATACCCTCACTGATCAATAGCCTGTTTATCTTTGTCTTAAATGCACTCAATAACTTGTCCTCCATAGCTTCCCTGCTTTCTCAACACTACCTGCCCCTCCATCTATTTTTGTCATCTATGAACCTAGCAACAGTACTCACAGTTCTGTTGTCCAGATCATTAATATATAATGTGAATAGTTGTGGTGCCAACATGAAGCCCTGCAGAACTCCATCTAGCTATCTTGAAAAAGACCTCTTTATCCCTATTCTCTACCTTCTGTTAGTCAACCAATCTTCTATCCATGCCAGTACCTTTCCCCTAACATCATGTTCTCTTATCTTATTGAGGAGCCTCCTGTGTGGCACTTTGTCAAAGGCTTTCTGGAAATCCAAAAAGATCACATCCACTGGGCCTCCAATGTCTAACTTGCTCATTACCACCTCAAACAATTCTGACAGATTTGTCAGGCATGACTTCCCTTGATAAAGCCATGCTTTTTACCATACACTTTCAAGTACTTAACAATCTAATCCTTAATGATGGATTCTAAAATCTCATCAACAATGGAGTTCAGGCTAACTGGCCCATAGTTTCCTGTTTTCTGCCTCTCTCCCTTCTTAAATGGGACTGTTTAAATTAGCCATTTTCCAGTCCTCTGGGAATATCCCTGACTCCAGTGATTCCTGAAAGATCACCTATACAAACTCTTCAGTTATCTTCTTCAGAACTCTGGGGTGTAGTACATCTGGTCTGAGAAACATAACCTCAGACTTTTCAGCTTCCCCAGCACCTTCTCCCTTAGTGATGGCCAGTATACTCATCTCTTTCCCCTGACTCTCTTGAAGTTCTGTATGCTGCTGATGTTTTCCACTGTGAAAACTGATGCAAATACCTATGGAGTGCCTCTGCCATTAATTTGTACCCCATTACTACTTCTCCAGCCTCATTTTCCAGTGGTTCAATGTCCACTCTTGCCTCTCTCTTACCTTTTATATACTTAAAAAAACTCTTGCAAACTTCTTTTATATTACTATCTAGCTTACCCCCAGAAAAGTCTGCCATTGCTCGGCTCCACCTCCACTCTTACTCAAATGTAATACTTTTATATCTGATTCCACCTTCTGGATGAATTCTATCACATCATGGTCCCTGCCCCAAGGTGTTCCTTCACCTTGAGCTCCCCAATCAAATCTGTCACATTATATGTCACCGAATCCAGAATTGCCTGCTTCCTAGTGGGCTCTACCACAAGCTGTTCCAAAAAAACTATCTCAGTCATTCCACAAATTCCTTTTCTTGAGATCCGCTATCAACCTGATTTTCCCAGTACATCTGCTAATTGAAGTTCCCCCATGATTATTGTAATAGTGCCTTTCTTACATGCCTTTTCTATCTCCTGATTTATTTTCTTCCCCACATCTTGACTACTGCTAAGAGGCCTGCATACAACTCCCATCTGGTTCTTTTTTGCTTTGGAAGTTCCTCAACTATACCCACACAGATTCTATGCCTTCCAACTCTATATCACTACTTGCTATTGGTTTAATTTAATTTCTTACTAACAAGGCAACCCCGTCCCCTCTACTCATCTGCCTGTCCTTTCGATAGGCTGCATATCCTTGGACTTTTATTCCTAGTCCTGATCCCCTTTGTAGCCACGTCTCTCTGATACCCATATCATCATAGTTGCCAATTTCAATCTGCGCTATGAGCCATTTACCTTGTTTTATATACTGTATGTATTTAAGAACAACACCATCAGTCCCACATTGATGGCTACCCCCTCCTTCTTATAATTGTCCCCTCACTCGCTGTGCCTGATGGATGAGTCACTCAACATTTCCGGCTGAAGATTGCCACGAATGTTTCTGCCTTATCTTTTGTACTGATGTGCTGGGCTCTTCCACTTAGCCCTTTGACTGCTCCACCATTCAACAAGATCATAGCTGATCTGATTTTAACGTCAACTCTACATTCTTGCATATCTCTGAAAATGTTTCATCTCCTTGGTAATCAATAATGTATCCAGCCATTGCCTTAAAAATGCTTAAAGACTTTGCATGCACTGCGTTTTGAGGAAGGGAATTCCAAAGACTCTCAACCCTCTGTCAGAAAAAAATGTTTCCTCATCTCTTAAATGGGCAACTCCTTATTTTAAAACCACAACCTTCGTTTTAGGTTCTCCTTGAAGTGGAAACATCATTTCAACTTTCACCCGGCCATGACCCCTCAAGGACGGGCAACAAATGTTGGCCCAGCTATCACTAGAGAGAAAGTACTAGGGAAACTAATAGGGCTAATGACTCATGTTCCCTGTGCCCAATGGGTTGCATCCTAGGATTTCAAAAGAATTAGCTATAGAGATAATGGATGTATTGATAGTAATCTTTGAAGAACCTTCAAATTTGGGAAAAGTCCCAGAGGAGCAGAAAACTTGCAATGTAATACTCTAATAGGGTGAGGGGCAAAAAGCAGGTAACTAGAGACTAGTTAACATCTGTCATTGGGAAAATGTTAGAGTCTATTGTAGAGAATGTAATAACAGAGCATTTAGAAACACAAAATAAAATCAAGAAGCGGCAAGATGGTTTCATGAAGGGGAAACCATGCCTGACAAATTTATGAAGTGAGGAGGTAACAAGCAGGTTAGATAAAGAAGAACCAGTAGATGTTATACTTTTGGATTTCCAAAACATGTTGAATAAGGTACTGCACCCTTAAGCTAAGATCTCATAGTATAGGTGTAGTATATTAGCATGGACAGAGGATTGGCTAATAATAGAAGAATAAATGTGGAATGAACTTCCAGAGGAAGTGTTGGATGCAGGTACAGTTACAATGTTTAAAAGAGATTTAGATAAGTACATGAATAGGAAAGGTTTGGAGGGATATGGGCCAACGCAGGCAGGCGGGACTGTTTTAGTTTGGGATTATGGTCAGCATGGATTGGTTGGACTGAAGGGTCTGTTTCTGTGCTGTATAACTCTAAGATGGAGAATTGGGATAAAGGGGCCATCTTCAGTATGGTGATAGCACGTGTGGGGCTGGCGGAGCACAGCAGGCTAGGCAGCATCAGAGGAGCAGGCAAGTTGATGTTTCGCGTCAGGACCCTTCATCAGAAATGGGGAGGGGAAATAAATAGAGAGGAGGGGTGTGGCTGTGGAAAGGTAAGTGGAATGGTGATAGGTGAATGTAGTGTTTCTCGCAGTTGCTGCATGGTATTTTGTGTATCACATTTGTCCTGCTTATTGTGGGTATGGGGTCTTTCATCTTTGAGAGTAACTGGCAAAGTGTGGCTGTTGGTTTGTGTGCTATCCTTAATCCAAGAGGCCGTAGGAGTTTTGTATTCAGTTCTGATATGTTTCTAACATGGGTAGGATGGCCAGTGTTTTGGGGCGTACAGTGTCTTCTTGATATTGTTTGTTTGCCAGGCATCAGCGGATGAAGCTGTTAGGATAACCATTGTTTGCAAAGACTCTGTATAGATATTCCTCTTCTTTTTGTGCAGCTCTGGGGTGTTGCAGTGAATTATCGCTCATTTAAACAGTCTTGACACACCCAATACCCACAATGAGCAGGACAAATGTGATATGTAAAATACCATGCAGCAACTGCGAAAAACACTACATAGGAAACTCACCACCAGGATACATGAACACCAACTTGTAGCAAAACAGCACGACCAACTCTCCCTCGTTTCAATACACTCCGACATAGACGGACATCAATTTAACTAGGACAAGGTTACAGTACTAGGACAAACTAGACAAAGACAAGCATGAGAATTCCTGGAGGCCTGGTTTTCAACCACCGATGCAATTAACAAACATGTTGAAATAGACCCCATCTACATACCACGACAGTACAAATCCGGAGACCAGACTGCCTGCCATGACAGACTGGATCACATAAGTTCAGAGCGGGACGGAACAATAGCGCTTCAATGGAGGCTACACAGCACTGAAGGGAGATGAAACGTTTGCATGAAAACCAGTCCGCTTGGCCTGCCAATCAATTCCAGCTAGCATTCAAATTCAGCCAGTGGGA